CAGGGTGCATGGCAGCGCCTGGGCCAGCCCCCAAAGGGAGTGGGGAGGGAGCACCACCCAGCCCAACTCTGCCACAAGCCCCAACCCCGCTCCACCCCCAGTCCAGCTCTGCTCTCATTCCCTCTCTGCCCACAGGCCAGCTCCACCCCATCTCCAGTTCAGTCCTCATCTCTACCTTCAGCCCAAGTTCCTCTGCTGAGCCAATTGTGTAGTAATGGGAGACGGGGGGTGTACATAGATTCCATTACTGGTAAGGGGGGAGCACAACAGGAAAAGTCTGGGCAACACTGAACTAGAACCATGTTAAGGAGCAAAAGTTTTCAACTATTGTTCTAGGCCTGGACCTATGTTTAAATCAATCTACAGAAAGAGCTGTGTACATGAGAAACTCGAGACTGGAGGGGAGGGTTGTGCTGGTTTCTAAACTGGACAGGTGGCTGTTTTGCTCTCTAAATTCTTTGGTGTTTTCCTTCTATGCTTAAATGAAAAATATTAAGGAAATCCTACTGGGTGCTTTGTGATTCTTCAGTACACAACTTTCTCTAACAACAAGGCCCAGAACAGCCTAACGTGATGAAATGAACGAGAGGCATACAGAGATGTGACACAGTTGAAGCCCTAAATCCGTATTACATGGGTTGTGTCTCTCTTAAACAGGCCTGAGTTTTTGTTTACTATTAAATTTGTCAATACCTTCATTTAGTAAGACAAAAGTGCGCATTCTGATTAGCCTGCAACATCTTTTGGTCAGGGGCTAGTCCTTTGTTTTGTCAAATGCCTAGCACATTGGGTGCTATAAAATAAATCAAAAGTGAAAAACAGGTTGTTTTTTCTTCTTTTAAAATAAACCCATAAACGGAGTCAATGTATGCATTTTTACTAGTTTTATTGTGGTTAGAAGCTATCACCTTCTCTGAAAAGACTATACAGAGCTTTTATTTCTTTTACTAAAAGCACATTTTTATAAAGAACTTTAGAAAGGCCACCACTTAGTCACCATACTCTGTCTTCTCATGCAAGTATTTTCATAACAGCTACATTTTGATGAATGACAGATTTTAGAAAGATCTATTCCAATATAATTAAAATGTTTTTCCATTTCTTTCAGATTATTTTCCATGAAATAAAGGTCATTACCCACATATGTATCCATTTATTGACCCATGTTTTCATACACTAAAATATCTCACAATTAAATTGGAGGCCAAAGTCTTATTCAGCTTTAGTCTCATTAGCAAATGTAATTTGAAATAAATGTGTTCATAACATTTTTATAGATGTGATTCATCTAACATATACTTCTGTGTTAATATCAGTGCATATATTAAAATAGAACTTTCATAAAGCTGAAATCTGAGCTACCATTTGTCACTACAAACTCTATCTGTCATTATCAACCTCATGCTTCATGAGGTTGGTAAAGGTTGGTAGTGACAAGGCTGGTAATGGTATTTTTAAACAAAAGTCAAAAATGGAGCAGCTCAGAAGGTCATTGATTCACAGAGGTGACCTAGGCAGAGAGATTTTCATGAACTAATGCATTAAACCCCACCGCCCACCTGCACATTACAGATTAATAACTACAGCTAGCAAAATCCAGGAATATTTGTACTAAATGGGTAATAAAAGTATTCTTCAAATTACCAAGAGAAACAACAAAAACAAAAATCACAGAAAACTAATTCAGGGACTGTACTTAACTCTGCGGTCATTGGAATGTCCACTCCATGGTCACATTACAACCGTTCAACAATCTCTCCCACACCTGAAAGATGCCACCAAACTTTCCACCTTTTCACAAATGCAGGATGATTTGAAATGTCATGCAAGTCAGTAATGAGATAAAAAGTTACAGAGAAACTTTTTATAAGGAACTTAAAAATGAGTTAAGCCTTAGCATTAAATTGATAAACTGAGTACACTGTCCTATGAAGACTGCACTGTAGGTCTGTATGCAAACAGAAAACAAAGAAAAGTTCACCAGGAGTTCCAGTTTTATGAAACAATTGCAATACTATAAATCAAAGTTTTAGATAAATTTTCATGGCAATATTTCAAAAAGTAAAAATATTTTTAAAATAAGGGATTAAATTGAAAGGAGCTGTTTGTTGAACCAGAGGGGATATTCTTTTTCTAAATTAAATTCTATCACCAACTTTTACTGAAAACTGAGACATCACAATCTAGTCTTTAAGAATGAACTAACACATATATACACAGGCTCTTACTGTGTTGATAGTTTATGAGATTAAATTCCATTTATTCTGTGTCTCCAAGAGAAAATATCAGAGCTACATTCACTCAAACTGAAAAACCTGGTGTGAAAGAAAGAGCGAATTCTAAATCTCGCTCTACTGCATTTTAGTCGATCCCAAAAGCCTTCTGAATTCTACTGTCATGTAATCTTAGCTGCCTTCTCCTTGCTAATAACAGCACAGTGACCACAAATGACTTGTTTCTGATCAAGTGGGAAGTGCAAGAGACTCAGTCAGAGAACATGGCTGATATTTTCCAATACAAAGCTATTTCAAAGACTATATAGGCAACAAAGAGAAATCTGTCAGCTGATGAGTTGCAGTGTTGTGCAGGGATGGAAGTACAACAGTGATACACCTCTACCTCGATATAACGCTGTCCTCGGGAGCCAAAAAATCTTACCATGTTATAGGTGAAACTGCGTTATATTGAACTTGCTTTGATCCGTCGGAGTGCGCAGCCCCGCCCCCCCGGAGCACTGCTTTACCGCGTTCTATTCAAATTCGTGTTATATCGGGTCGCATTATATCGGGGTAGAGGTGTATATATAAAAATAAGTTATAAGGTATTATTCCATATATATATATATATATATATATATATATATATATATATATATGAAAGTACCTTAAGCTAAGTAACTCTATTATAGTGATTTTAACACAGGATAGATACATGACGACATGTTAAAAATATATCAAAATAAATAATTTTGCTTATTTATGGTGCTCAAACACTATACGAGAGAGAGAATGAGGATCTGCTTCATGAAGTTTAAAATCCTAGGCTCTGATTCTGGAAATACTTATGCACATGCTTAGCTTTATGTTGTACTGATGTCAATTGGACTATTTATGTGATTAAAAGTTAGCATGTACATAAGTATTTCCAGAATCAGGGCCTATTTTAGACAGGACAGCTGACAAACAAACATACTGGATGAGGTGGTGTGCCGGTCACATGGATAAAAGTTACATTTATTAAAAAAATGCACAGACTATTTCGTATGTACTTCCCAAGCCTCAGAAATTTAAATATACCTATTTCAGAACAGTATATTATTTTGCAATATATACAACTAAGTAGGTATAAGGTTTACAACAGTTTATGTGCAGAGATGATATGACAACAGAATCAAAGTCTTAAAGGAAAAAACTCCCTTTCTACAACTACTGAACATAAGTAGCAGAATTAAAGAAAAAGCAGATTTCAAATAGAAAAAAGAGCAGCATTTAATACACAAGATAGGATAGCAACTGAAAGATTAAGCTAGCCATCCTCCTATCAGGAGAGAAATTTGACCCCCAAGAAATACATAAAAGTCACCCAAAAAGTGAACAAAAGAGATGTTTGAAAAAAAACCCAGAACACCATTCATCGCGGCTAACGACTTGTTCATTATGAGTGATGATGGATAAAGACTTCTCACGCTGAGATGAAATCAAGATTTATATGCATTGTTTCCTCTCCCAACTTGTGGGAAGATCATCATCATTTAATTCTATCTCTGCGGCCAGTGATGGGCATCCAGAGAGCTGGTTATCAAACGGCGCAGTCAGCTGGCAAAAGCAGAAACGTGCAGTTGGCACATCTGGACCAAGCCGCCACAGCTGAGGGTGAACAATGACTCCTGGCAAGCAGCCAAATTGCTTGCAGAAGCTAGCAGGTCTCATCTACAACCGCCCCTACCAGCATCTCTCTCTCTCTTTTTTTACGAGAATCAGATTTTCAATTGCTCTCCTCTGCCATTTTTTACAGCTCTTATCGTTCCCTTGGAATATGGCCTTGAGACAGCTCATCCGTGTCCTTCACTGTGTTATCTCTTCTAACTTTTATTAAAACTTCAGCTTTCATCTGAAGGTAGCTAATTAAATCCATGACAGATTATACACGCGTTTAAAAAAACTGCACCGAACTATTTTTTCTAAACAGAAAAGGGTTTATTTTATTATCACATACTTAAAACTAAGGGTTATATAAGGAGGTTTCATTCATTTACAAAGACAAGATACTTATCTCTACCTAGTATATAGATAGGTTTATATTAAAGTTCTCTGTGGCGTGACAAGACTCAGTGCAATTTCTCACATTAATTATTTCTTGCTGGACAGATTTCTCAGCCTTGTACTTTTAAAATATCTCTACTAATATGTATGTGAATGTATATTGATAATCATGAAAAGCATTGCTTTGCAATAAAGTGAGATTATTACATATTTTCTTCTGTTTTAATGTCAATATGTCTAAGCTATTTGTCAGGGCAACAATATTTTGATAATATTGCAGGAAGTCAATTATTCTGTTATAATCTGCTGTATTTTTTAGAATTTGTTTTAAATCACATTAAATACCTGGTTCTGACATAAATGAAAAGTATATGAAGTCTAACAAGCAAAGGCATAATCATGTTTCCAGTTCATTTCAGGCTATCAGTGACTGGTGTTTAATGCAAGTGGCTTTGTCATAATAAACAAACATTACTGATACTGACTATATGGCTTTTGCAGGAAACATTATACAATTCTCCCACTGTCAGCGTTTTTCAGTAGTATCTGAAAAGCTCTCTTTCTTTACCCACCTGTGAACAGAGCAGCTTTGGAGCTGTGCTGAAAAATCACCATACCAACTGAACAAAAATTAGCATTTTGCATGACAGTCACAAGAAAACAGATTTTGGGGGGGGAGGGGGAGAGAGTTACTTATGGCAAAAGATCTCTTTACAGAGAGCAAAATATGTATCCCACCTGAACCCCTCTGTGATCCCTTCCTCCGCTTTAAGGCCTTTTGTAAGATATCCTTCATGGTGACCTTCATACTGTCCACCTGAATAAGTGAGAATCCATGAGCAGCATTTCTGCAAGACACACACACACACACCTCGTTATTACAAAACATAGGACAGTTTATTGCAATCCCCACTGCACATAAGTGTAGTGAGCAAAACATGTACTGGGTATGCCAATGAACTAAACAGAAAGATTTGCATACTTGTGACACGACGAGAGAAGCTAAGCAAGCTCTGATGAGCAAGTTGGGGACAACAAAGGAGAAAAGTGACAAAGCTCAGGGTATGCTGCAAGGGTTTTCCTAATTTATCATCTTCATTTCAGATCACTTTGTGTTTGTCCTTACAAAAGGAAAATGAGCAAACACACCAGCAGAACTCCTTTATTTCTCATTATTAGTAAAGCGTGTTAGGTGCTTTGCAGAATACATAAGAAGAACTGGCCCCTACCCCAAACAGCTTGCAATCTCATTTTCATACAGGATGCAATCAAGGTGCAACAAAATAGTAAGGAGGGAAAAACTAGGGCACAGCATTATATTAAATAAAATGAATGGCTTTGTTGACTTGTTTCTTGTGAGCATTGTGGCATAAATCTGGAAGAGATGATCATGAAAACAGGTTAGTTGGTCTGGCCCTCAGCTCAGGAAGGCATTTTGTGCAGGGACGAAGTATGGTAATTGACCTCGAGATGGTCATCGGAGAAATGGACAAATGGGGTACTGAGAGTGCCATCCACTGGTGAAGTGGAGAAGATGATGGTGTAATAAGAGAGGTGCCTGGCTGATCAGTCAGTAAATTTTGCCCATTGGACTTTGCAGTCAATCTCTGTTCATGTCAGCAGATGTCACTGAAGGAAATTTTAGAGATGTTGGGCACACACAGGGAAAGGGCTGCACTGTAAGGAAGAAATTGTATTTCACAAGGCAATTTAGACAGGAGGAGGTGGAGCTCTCTCACTCTCTATGTGGCTATTTCAATATTTTAATCAGGAAACAAAATTCTAGATGAACAGTATCAGGCTGGAATATTTTAAAACTAACTGGCAGTCAACAACAATCCAATCAATACACTTACATCATTATAAAGAGGACCAAACTGAATGTTATGGGATGACCCTAACTCTGGGAAGAAGTTTAGTTCAGATTACTGTCTCAGCCCTATCCCATGCTGGGAAATATCCTAGAAAGATCACTGACAACTTGAGCTCTTGTCACATGTTATTTCTCAACCACAACCATCAGCTGCACTATTAGTGCTATCGACAATGGTGTGAGCATGCACAAGTTTGTAATGATACAGGTTCCTCAATTTTGGAATCCACATACACTGGTCTTACAATAAACATAACACATGTGGCCAACCACTGTTTCCTTTCCCACATGACCCTACAAGCATGGGGTGGAGGTGGGGAAACATAGCCCTTACATGGAAATTAACATATTAGATTAGATCAGCAGGCCATCTAGACCAGTACCCTGTCTCTGACAGTGGCCAGTACCAGATGCTGCAGAGGAGGAGCAAAAAACCCTACAGTGGATAATTATGGGATAATCTACCAATTTAGGGGAAGTTCTTCCTAAATCAAGGCAGTTATTTGATGGCTTATGCACTGAAGCATGTGGGTTCATATCCATTATACATTAGATAAAATTTAAAAATTGCTTCTGTGAATGTTCTCATTATCCATATAAAATGTGTAAGTCTCTTTTGAATCCTACGAGGCTCTTGGCCTCAGTGAAGCCCTGTGGCAGTGAGTTTCAGAATTGTGTGTTATGTAAAACTATTTCCTTTGAATTGCCTCCCAATTTCATTTCCCCTTCCCCTTGTTCTGGTGTTATGAGACAGTGTAAACAGGAGCAATACATTTACCTTCTCTGTACCATTCATTATTTTATAGAACTATCCTCTCTAAACTAAACATTCCTATCTTTTCAATCTATCCTCTTTTCATGCCTCTTCAAGTTTGTTTGTTACCCTTCTATTTGTGCTGTATATTTTTGAGACGGAGTGATCAGAAGTGAACACAGTGCTCAAAATGAGGGAGTACAACCCATTTCTATAATGACATCATACAATTTTCAGTCTTAAAACAGCCAGACATTGTTTGCTTTTTTGATTGCTGCCACACACTGAGCAGGGGTTTTCACTAAATTCAGAACCCTGCAATGCACATGACTAGTTCAAACTATTCCTTTCAATACACATTACAGTTGTCCACACTAAATTTTACGTGCCATCCTGCAGCCCATTCATCTAGTTCTGTTAGATCCTTTGAGTTCCTTACAGTTTTCTCTAGTCTTGACTGATCTACTGAGGAAAGCTTTGTGGTTTTTCTGGTTAAAAGCTGGCATATGGAAGCAGTGTACATGTCAAAACACTAAAGTTCTAGTAATGGAAACTCTTAGTTTCTTTTACATTTCCAAGTTATCTGATGTGTGCTACTGATATGTCCCAGGAGGAGTCTGGAGAGCATTTTAAAGCATCAAGGCTGATGAACAGAACTCTGTCCTGAAGGAGGGGCTCTGCTGTTCCTAGATACTTTATAGAACATTCTACAGTACAGAACTTCCAGGCAAACTAAAACATTAAAAAAAATGAGGAAAAATAAGTTCAAAATAAAAACAAAAACTAATTTGGTCAAACAGAAACATGACCAGCCTTGCGGACTTAAAAAATGCTTTCAATGTGTTTTCTCATAAGCAAACTAAGGCCTTCAATCTAAGCTAAGAATAAGTCAAGCTGCCTGCCGGGAGTGAAACAAACAATGGCAACTGAGCACTGATGACCTAATTTGGGTTTGCTAATGCTAAGATGTCTCTGGAACTCCCCAAAATGGAAAACAGACTTTTAATTCTTGTCACTTCAGCCGTTAAAAAGGAAAAGCTGTTGTTGATCCTGCTAGTGTTTCAGTCCATTTTAACTCGGTCAAGCCTTTCCTATTGAGCAGCTGGCCTGAGAACTGTCCAACTAATTTTACTGAACATTCTCTTACTAAATCATGGCTGAACCACAGCCATTCTTTGCCTCAGAAGCTGGATCCCATCCCAGAACAATCTTTAAAAGTTTATTTTACTGATCAAAGCAAAAAAAAGAGAAACCTCGATGTTTTACTATATTTAGTGAGCTATTCAGTAAGTGAGACCTTGGCAAGAGAAACGAAATGTAAAGTGCACCCCACATTTGTAAACTTTTGGATATTTGCTATGGAATAATGCCAAAGGTGTTTGAAATGCCAATCAGAGTTCAGACTTACTAGTATTTTCTTGCTTTGTTTTAGTTAAATAAAAGAAGAACATTGCTCTTCTCTGACAATACACAGCAGAATCTCAATACCACATGGTAGTACACAGTAAAACCACTAATCTGCATTGAAAGTAGATCTGGGCACAGAACAATGAGATTCTGCTGTCATCTCGGGGCAAGGCCAGTGTGTTACGCCATGTTTCCCATGCACCAAAGGGAGAGAGAAGCATGAGACCTCCTGCCCTTTCTCCTGGCACTCTGTAATGCTATGGAACAGTGCTATCACTTACACTTGGCTGGTGGTGCCAGGGCTCATCCCTATCACCAGCACTCGGAAGCCTGCAAACTTTGCCAATCCATATTGACCTTCCCTCTCATTAGTGCAGAGTAGTGAGGTGCTACTGTGGTGGGAAACACATTTCAAGGGTTACTTGCCAGGTTCTCAGTCATTTCCTATATTGGTACCATACATCAAGTGTCCTCATTACAAGCTATACCTTATCCAGCATAAGTTTAAACAGGTTTTCAAATTACATACATTTTAACCTAACCCACTGTTGTGTGATACCATTATTTTAAACGAATGCATTTATCTTTAGCTGCTAGAAAACATCGGACCGACAAAGAGAGACTATTCTATCAATTAAAAGTACCTTTAGAAAAAACAGAGTCAAAGAAATTCCTTAGCCTGTATTTTTCTGTCATTTTACGAAAACATACCTGGGTGACAAGGTTAAATCAAGCAAAGGAAATCCCTGGCACTTATCATCCACAGGCATTACTGATAAATTGTGCAATGGAGGAATAAAGGATTACCTTCTGTATTTTTTCATTACACTTTTCTTTTGTTACAGAATACATAAATCCATTGTGGCACAATGTAATATGTATCATCGTGCTACACCTGTGGACGTTTCATAACGGCTGCCATGTCTGTGCAGTCAGGAATGATAAGTGAACCACCCGTGAATGTTAATGATAGTGATCATTCTGAGGTAACTTGGCTTTCCATCTTCCTTTACAGCCTTAGCGCTGAAGCCAGGGTGGCAAGGTTCAGGAGAGGAAAATGAAAACAAGAGAAAAGGCAAAAGCTTCAAAGCTTGGAATGTTGATTTGGGGGGAAGAAGCGGGGGATTTATATAGTATCTTAGTCTTGGGCTCAGTTTAAGTAAATAAATTAACGTTTAAAAAAAAAAAAAGAGTAAAGGCTTCTGTCGTCAACATTAAGCACAAACTTTTCCATGCACTGTCTGTGTTTCTCTCTCATGTGGAAACAACTTTTGTTCTATTCTGAGGTGGAATCTATAGCACTTACAAATTTTCCGCAGAAAATCCCTGACATGGTTGAAAACGACTGGTGATGACTAATAATGTTTTCCATCTGAAGAGTGTGAAATCAAAGTATGCTAAAAATCCCAGTTGATGCACTGTCCTTAACTTAAGATGGGTAACTTTTTAGATTAAAGTGCACAATAATGTGAATCATGATGACTGTCAGCCCACATTTTTAGCTCTGCCTCTGAAATGCCTTGCTTTTGTGGGTCTAAAGTAAGCCTCATGTTACTTTTGTGTGCTTTTGGGTTTGATTGCCGTACTGTGAGAATACTTTAAGTTAACCTATATATATTTGCATTTTATATATGTGATAAAATACATTTTGTAAGTTATATGTACAGGTATGAAAACGGAGGATAGGACTATTGTGGGTAAGTTTCCATAACCTCTGAATTGCATTCATAAGTGCACCACAAGGAAGATGTCATATGATTTGATTGGAAACAATCTGAATCTCTCAGGTATAAAGCTAGTGTAACTTGGGGGGG